AAGTCAGTTCTTCTATACGGATCAGAAACTTGGCGGGTGGGTCACAAAGAATAGTTCCAACAGGCTGTTGCAGACGTTATGTATATTAGCAACTAACTGTCTTCCCCCTATACTGAAGATCAGATGGCTGGGCCAGGCCGGAAAGAATTACCAACATGAAACTATGGGCACAAACAAACAAAACAAGAAGCAATCGCCAACCAAGAAATATGCAAGAGAAAGTGGACATGGATCGGACACTTGCTGAGAAAGCCGCCGCTGGGTGACATCGCGGGGGCATCAGGCCATTGCTCGAGTGGAACCCGACAGAATGGGAAGCGGCGAGTGGGACGTCTGTGCGAGGGTGACATGGAGGAGATCGTGTCAGTTGGAGGAGTTGAAACAGTATGGACTAACATGGATGCAAGTGAAAAGTACAGCAGACGGAAGACAGAAGCAAGTGGAGACGTGCAGTTGAAGCCCTATGTTCCACTACGAACCCAAGGGAACAATAACAATAATAATATACAATTCAAGAGCGATACGTCTACAGGAATTCTATACCAGCATCTGACTGCACCAACAAAGACGACACATTCAGGACTTCCTTGAAGTGGCATATTGCTATGGTTAGCCAAAAGACATACAATTATCAGTGAACTAGTATTTGCACACAAACATTGATTCTTATCTATTTATTTCTATAGCCTAGCAACATGTCCGCCAATTACAGTCGACATTCAACTACTTAGGACAGTTACTGCACATAAACGCCTGTCGGAATTCTCCATCTCACATAAAACATGGAGACAAGCCAACGGTCGGCAAATCAAGATGTGCCAAACGTTTTCTATTCTTCTTCTACACGTCTCTATATGGCTGAAGAGGACAAACATAATCATGGTCAAGAAACAGATGGTAATGTAGATGTATAAATGTCATCAACAACGTATTCCCCGACCAATAGCTACTACCTTGACGTGGTGGTCGGGCTTACAATTCGCGATGACCCAACAAGCTACACTGGCTGGAATCAATGTTTCTGCAGGTCCTACCATCCCAGGAAGGTTGTTAGGATAGCGATTACACTAAAAGCAGTTACGGCATTGCGTAAGGATCTCTCTTACACTATCCTAGGGGTCTGAGGGCGAAGTCGTACTGCTGGGGGACGGGTATGTAACAGCAGTAAGGTGTTTCCCTCAAATGACCAGAATGCCAGTCAGCTATGCTGTCTCTTCACTCTGGAGAGAAAAACGTCGACCCAAAAAATTGCACATCCCGACTCACCCTACGGTGGTCCGTAACCGGCGGTAACTCCACTAATACGGAACCAAACCAAGAAACCACTTCATACAGGCCGTGTGTGACCAGCCTGGCTCAAGCAGTTGTCTCCTGGACTTAGCGGTCACACAACACTAACCGTCTCTCTCTCTCTGTTTCAGGTGCCCGAAGAATCAACCAACTTCCACGGTGTGGGCAGTCGGGAATTAACAACCGCCCACATGCTTCCAAAGGCATCAGCAGCAAGAACGCTGCCATCTCGTGCTATGGCTATGTTATGTTTCGGAGACACGCATACTAGACCCGAATGTGGTCATTCACTTAACCTCACCCGGTCAACAAGGTGAATCTGCAAAATTCTCTTTAAGGGTGTCAGAAGACTCCTCAGCTAGCTCGAGAGGTCTCGCAGGTGTACGGATAGTACACAGTGTTACGGCGGAAAAATCACTTCTTGACTGGATCCCTGTAGATAGTCGTATGTGTGCGATCTGTCTGAACAGATCCATTAGAAGCAAAGACGGCGTCACCTGTCTTCGCCTTCCCACAGTCTCCGCTTACGCCCCAACAGACCGCAGTTCAGATGAACAAAAGGATCATTTCTACCTGAAACTGTCTAATCTTTTGCAAAAAGAAAACGTTCGAACATAGTTGTTTTAGCAGGCGACTTCAATGACCAAGTAGGGAAGTTGTGCCAGACTGAGAAGTATGTAGGTGGTGTGTATGGAGTTACCTGCTGACGAACCGACAACGGTAATCGTCTTCCACAGTTCTGCTCAGATAATCATCTGTTCCCAGTCACCACTAACTTTGGGCACAAAGAGAGACCCTGTGTAACCTGGAGACCTCCATCACCAAATCAACGCTGGACTCAGATAGACCACATAGCCATAGGGTATCCTTGGCGAGAGTCAGTAGAAGACTGTCGCTCCCTCTGGAACACGTGCGTAGACTCTGATCACGCTCTGGTTTGCGCACGTTTATGCTTACGACTAAACAGACACAAGAAATTGATGGCAGCGAAACAGTTACGTCCCCAACTAGATCAAGACACTGAGCCCTTATTTAAAGAAGAAATAGCGAAACGAGTGTCTGAAGTCGACAGTAAGACTTCTCCTGAGGTAGTCTGGCTGGCACAACATACAGTTAGTTGTAGACACAGCAGTAAAAACTGTTAACAAGTTAAAACTAAAAGTTAGTAAGAGCCATTGGATCTCTACCGCCTCATCCGAACTGAGTGATGCAAGAAGGCCGATTCCGGCGGGCTCCAATTATGGTGAGGAGCGAAAGCTACTCAAACGAAAACTAACAAGAAGTCTTCGCAACGACTTAAACAGTGGTGGGCGACAAGAGCGAAAGAGATGGAAAAGGCACCGCCGATTGGTAACACTAGACAAATATTTAAATTTATCAAGGAAGCAGGGGCAAAAGCCAAGTGATAAGTGAAACAATCTCTAAGAAAAATGGCACCATAATTAGCTCCCACGATAGACGACTGGAAAGAACACTACGAGGAGCAGTTTAATTGACCTACAGCCACGATCGACCTGCCGAACATCCAACAACACCTTCCTGAATGGGATATAGACACAGGTCGTCCGTCCCTAACTGAGATTACTTAAGCTGTCACTAGTCTGAAACAAGGCAAAGCAGCGGGACCTGATGGAATGACGCCAGAGGTATTTAAGTACGGTGGAGACAGTTTACTCTCCGCGTTAACTGAGATACTAGGCAGTTTCTTGGGGTTGGTTTAGGTCACTGATTATCCCCATGTACAAGACAAATATTCCTGTGATAATAATGCGTGGACTAAGTGGTACTCGGGGGAAACAAACACGAGAGAACCACGTAATCTTTAGACCAGGAAGAGGGTGTATTGCTCATATCTTCACCTTTCGACAGATTCTAGAACATAGGAATTCTTACCGGTGTCTAACAATCGTTATATTTCCTGACCTACCTCAAATCGGCAGTCGATTCTGTCGACCGAGAGGTTCTCTGGCGATGCTTGGCTGTAAACGGAATTCCAAGAAAATATATTGCACTGATTAAGGCACTCTACTCGTACTCATACAGCCAGGTGAGGGCTTACGGCGAGTTGTTATCTGAACTGGTGACGACTAGTGGTGTCCGTCAGGGATGCCAATTATCCGTATTTCTATTCGATTTCATCACAGACGTACTAATAGATTTCACCCTTATTCATTTCAGAGACTCAGGAATAGACTTGCAACCACCAGGGAATAATGTCGTTGACTTAGAATATGCAGATGACATAGTCCTTCTAGGCGAGGACGCTGACAAAATACAGCAGAGTCTTCTGAACACCTTGAGCTATAATCTACGAATGTTTGGCATGCGATTCGCTCCCGCCAAATGCAAGATGATGTTACAGGACTGGACTACACCGACTCCTAGATTAGAAATAGGGAGTGAAGTGGTTGGTGGAGCGGGTTGACCGCTTCACTTATTTGGGAAGTACCATCAACCAACGCCAACGGGTTGATCTCTGACGAAATCTCAGCTGAGTACGGATACAGGGGGCTCGTTACGCATTTGCCACTTTACGCCGTCTCTGGCGAAGACGAGGTATCCGACTATCGACCAAAGGGCAGGTGTACTGCTCATCAGTCCACTCCGTCCTCCTTTATGGCCAGCTGTGAGACCTGGCCACCGAGAGTGGAAGACATGGAAAGATTAGCTGTCTTCGATCATAGGTGCCTGCGCTCTATCTCCCGTGTTGGTTGGTGGTATAATAAGGTGAGCAATATTGAGGTTAGGTATCGGTCGAGTGCTAGGTAGGTGGGAGGAGAAATCAATAGACGAGGCTGTGAAGCAGTTACATCGACTGAGATGGTTAGGACATGTGTTACGCATGCACGCCTAGTCATCGCCTTCCTCGGCTGACAGGCAATGTTAGCTGACATAGGATTGGTCAGGCTGGAAAAGAGCAAGCCGGTGGTGGTCAAACCAAAACACGGCTTCATCAGTCAATGAAATCCACAACAGTTAGTTTAAGCCAGCCAGCCACGTAGGGAAACTGTTTTTTTTCTTCGTTATTACTATTCCATTGTCTTACACCTCTGTTTACTCTCTCTCTCTCTATTATGCATTTCTTCTACTTTCTTTTCTTGCTTTGTGAGCTACATGGAGTGTGGCGACTTGAACTGTCACACATCGGTGCAAAGTTATTTGTCGAAAACATACAGACCTCATCGTATTCTCTTGTTCGTTATCAGATTGTTGTGACTTTTGTTTGCTGTATGTGCGTGGATGCACGTAATGTAAATGAACGAAATATTCGCATATTGAGTCATAAGGAAAAGGCACAAACAGGGGAACAAATTTTCTTTTCAACGATTCATTTTCATAAACTGAACAATCGTAATTATAATTAACAAAGAAATCTTTAGAACAATCAGATATTGGTAATCTTTTTCCTTAACAATTGTGCTACATTATGTAAGGTGAAAGAAGGGATGACTGATTGTAAGTGAGAAAGAAGACAGAAGTTGGCATAACGTAAAAAGTGTGAGGTAATTACCAATCAATATGCTTGTGTAGAATGGACAGGAATTAGTGGAAAGGCTATAACGTGTTTCTGTATAAAATCTGTATGAAAAAGCAACGTTATTAATCAACAGTAATAGAGTGGTAATAAAATGTGGATGATGGGAACAATAATGATAATAAAAGTATGAAAGTATGAAAAATACGCTTTGCTTTGAAGCAGAAAACTATTGTCATTGGCTAATTGCTGTCTCACTCACGACACTTTTGCGTAGCTTGACCATCAGATCGTGGATTAGAGTTCGCTTTTCACTGACGGTGGATATGGGAAACCAAGTAGCCATTTCGTATTGAAAATAGTGCTTGGTATAACTTTGTACAGGTTTCTGAAAATATGTATCAGTGAGTACTAGTAAGTAAGGGTAGTAGGAGAGGGAGGAATGCATACATCGATTCACACGTCATGACATGACACGATATAACAAGACATATGACTTGGAACTGTGATACATCCTGATATGTATCCATACATATATACATATATATATGGTGGTCTCTTTCTGTTGCTCTCTTAGTCTGTGATCATTTCACTTCGATGAACCTGTCTCCTTTAACAATGTATATTCCTCTTATATTATATATAATGTGTGTTTGTTTGACATGTCTGTTATATTTGCTATGTATATGTGGATCGATATTCCATTATAATTAGCCAATCATGTTAAGACTGTCTATTGATTTGTTCATTTTGAATATTCGCTCTCACACTTGTGTTCACACACTTGTTCGGACATTCATATATTTTTGCTCTCACACTCTTGTGTGACATTTTTGATTCTTCTGATGTTTTGGAAAATAGAAGTATCATCGAAAACCTAGTGGTCTTCTGATTTCCGTCTTTCTTGCGTCAGGACTATTAAATTCTCGACCAGTACATAACAATAATTTGGCGACGACTACATAATACATCCCTAGTCGGAAATAGTCTGCATAGCAGGCGAATTACCACGACATATGCATGCATTGAATGAAAATTTAAAAAATGAACAACTACACATGATATGACTGATGTTCACATTTATCCAGGTCCACAGAAGCACGCAAGGATTAACATACAATTCACACACAAAAAAAACAAAATCTACAAGGTTGCTTATACTCTGAACTAATTTTGTTCAAATATATGCTGCATACTACGTAATAAAATAAGCGTGCACAAATGTCAACCCATTCATCACATAAGACAACCAATCATCCACGGATTGGTTGGACACTGTATTTTCATACAATCTAAAACATTCCAACTAAGTCCGATTTTACGAACTTCATCGTAAATGTTTTATGCAGCGGATGCGATGGTGAATGCCAATATTAATTGCAATGCACGACGACTAATACATTTTTATAGTGAAATAGAGCAACACTCGAAGGAATAAGCAATGATTAACAAAATTACCTTGAAAAACATCTCAATGTAGTGAAGCAAAAATATTCCACAGTCGACGGGATTACTCTGTAGGGGCACTCGAGGACTGAATCCTCGGATTGTGTCTCTGTCGAAGTGTAGAAGACCGTCTTGTGATGACCTCCGAGTGATCCACTCCGCCTGCAAATAACTGAAATGAACAAAACGTTATTTTGCGCTTGATATATACTAACCGGTTCGCTGACTCATCAATGTAGAACTTTGATCAAAAAAGGCATTACTTAAGGGTGTATGCTAATCACCTATGTCAAATGGAAGATGATGCTGTAGGATTGGTCTTCACCAACAGATGATGAGGTGGTTGTGAAGCTAGCTAGCTAGTTAACTGTACGGATTGAGATAACTAGAACATGTGCTAAGCATGCTAATATTCATGGCCTTGTCTTCCACATCAAGTATAATCTTAGATGACATGATTGATTTTAATCTCCAAAAGTTTTGATGGCGATGAAAGCAAAACATTTCATCAATCCATGAAACCTTTGACTATTTATTATTTCAGGAAAGTCACCTGACACGGCTTAAAATCCTTCTTCGCAGTGGAACAAGTCTATCCACCCTGCATACACTCTCCAACATTCATCACTCCTCAATCACTCTGCATACGTTGTAATTATCCTTTCCTCCATACATTCTCTTCATCGTAATTCCTTCAAACTTTTTCTCTCAAGATTTGCATACTTGTGAACTTATGTGCAGAACTTGAACTGCCTTACTTTTCTCCAAGGTTCTACAGTGGCAGTCAATCAGCCAAGAAAAAGCCTTGACACTGTAGTGAATGCATTCAATAATTCATCACTCCCATCTGTAAATATCTTCGCGATCACAGCACAAGGTTTCAATGTTCTGCTTTGTTTTCAGATTACACACAACTTTTCCAATCTCATTCACCGGATGGCGACCGCTGTTGACATTCCAATCAGACTGTGTTCAGTTCAATTGGTGGGCAGATGTAATGAGGTTGTCGACAAGACATTCTGTCCTTTAAAGTGTTCGCTCATTATCTAACCTTCTGTTATCAAAACGTTTCGGTAGACTCACCACAACTATTTCACGACGCTTTCTCATTTACAAGGCATAATGATCAACTTGTTTTACCTAGTGTGCTCGCCTTTTCAATTTCTTCTACTTTTATATTGACTCGCACACACTCTTGCCATTTTTATTCCATGCCAACACAACAACTACACCTGATTTTCTTTCAATCATTGATGACTGTCAGGGGTATGGCTTGACACGCTCAACGCGTTTCACACACAGTCTACAGCTCTACTTTTTAACCAGTGAACGAACATGAGCATAGTTCAGTTTAGGGAAGAAAAGTTGAATGGCACGGCATAAAAGTGTGAAATTCTTTACATGAAAAGAAAGCATAACTCATATGCAACAAACAGTCATATTTTTCATTGCTCTACACAACAACACAGCGTAATCAAGTCACAGATACATGCACAAATGTAGAAATATCTTACTCCCGAATAGTAGACAAATTAGTAATTCTAGTTTGAACAGGATACGAATCGAAGAGTAGAATGCATGGCCTGTGTAAGATAGAAAAGAAAATATACGTGGCCATAAATTTCAGGCATGATTTGATCATGACAACACAATACAACACACACATCAAACCATTAATTAAAACAACAATAAATAGCCTAAGATTCGGAAATACAATATAGAATGTCATCCAATGTGTTAGCGCATCAGTTGCCGCTGCCTCTCAGCGCAGTGCCACCCGCAAACAAATGGCTCCATTTGGGAACAACAATAACACTCTATCTAAATATATGTGCAAAACCTGGCCACTGTGGTCGTGGTGGCAATAAGTAATTCCATGTTAGTTTGTTGTGTGAGATGTATCACACAGTGGAACCCAGTGTCTTTACTATAAAACTTTAAAAAATGCATGTTAAGCCAGTGGAAAGTCCTCTACTTCTGCTTCAATATGAATGGGTCGAAAACTCTTCTCACCATTATATATACATATACATAACCACACAGCTATCTGACTCAAATATAAGAAAATTCTCTACAAGTAATAGAGGAACAAATACACATTCGGTTATTTGCATGCATGACGACAGTGAAGATTGAGCACAGCACCAGGATACATTGCTTCTACATATATGGAAGAACATATATATAGAACAACTTACATAGCATTGATACCACATTTGCGAAGCCAGGCTAGACGTTTTCGTCTCCACCGATCAAATGCTTGACCCTGTAAACAAATACACCCAACACACAGTCAATGCTAAGAGAAATAATAATAATAGTAAATCTTAAAATAGACATTTATACACACACACTTCTTGAGAATGCAGTGGACACGACTATTGAACAAACAGTGCGAAAATCAAAAGTTTTTCTCCTAAGTTACAGCCAAGCAAGTACCAAAACCCTTATCTCATCACAATTACAACTGAAAAAAACATCTCAACACATCGTATGTTAAATATGTACTCTCGTCTATCCACCGAATATCAGAAAATCTACAAGTTGGATACAATCTGCAAAATGAGTAAGGAAAACCGCTTATGCGTATTTAGAAATTCAAAGACATGGATGTATAGCTAGAGATTATAACGCTTTCAAATAAATATCATCTTTTGGATCAACAAACGGACACGTCAACGATTAAAATAACGATTTTCAAAGTAAGTTATCAAGTTCAGAGCAATTAGTTCCCTTTATGAATTTCGATAACACAATAAGAAGACATAGTTTATCTGAAACGTGTAATGTATTGGCGCAACACATTTCGGACATTCTTATAACGCACGTACATGTCATACACAGCTTTTATAAAAAGTAAGAAGGCATGAATAATTACGATACAGGTCAGATTGTGTACAGGTCAACGTCACAAATAATAGGTAGGGAGAAGCAAAAGGTGTGGGCGAGAAAGTTCAAAAGAGAAAAACAAGGCAAAGAAGGGATTGAAAATATTATGAAGTGAATTGGTTCTTGGTTCTAGCTTGGATTACCAAGGCAGGTTTAAGGTGATAACAAATAGCTTTTGGACACATTTTTTTCCTTCACGTTCCCCAGTGGAACATAGGGCAATTTCAAGCTAGTGGCTAGAAGTCTCTGTAGCAGTGTTTATTTTACAGGATGGAGTTGCTAACCAGCCTCATGCCCAACCTTTACTCTTTACCAAGATTATTTCTGGCTCAGCGAGGTAAAGGAGTACGTCGGTGGCCGGGGATCGAACCCCGGACCATGTGCATGGTCGGCGAGCGTCCTAACCGCTATGCCACCGACGCACATAAGACAGGTTTAAGTCATTTTTATGGCTAAGGACTCAATGAATTTAAGTATGTGGCCCAACTTTGTTTTATATATCGGTTTAAAGGCATTGTTGAAATCAACCTTGTGACTCATCTCTGTAATAATGCTTTGCTATAGATGATGTTGGACATCTATTTCTGGGGTCAGTTGTATCTGGCGATTTCATTTGTTGTTGCAGCCACTTTGGAATGTGTTCTGTAGCCCTAACCTGCAGAGACCGATGGGTTCTCCCTATATACGTGTCTCCGCACATAGACGTAAATTGATAAACACAGTGGGATGTGACACTATCGTTCGGATAATGTGAGGGTTTACAGGACAGCATGGTTCTCGTTTCCTCTATGAAGATAAGTTTAGCTGCATAATAGGTTCTATTAATTGCGGCTTTGAGTCTTTGTTTAGTGACCACACTTTGTTGATTACCTCTGAACGGCAAGGATATGTAAACATCTTTTTTGGGAGCTGATTAGATTGGTAAAGCTCTGTGGTTGACGCTTCCGTAACGTCTAATAAATCTCAGTGGATAATTGTTATCTAACAGTATTTCTGTGATGTGTTGTCTTTCTTCTTCAATTGTATCAGCAGTACAAATTCGGTGAAATAAAGCGTTTGAACAAACATTTAACCGTCTTTTTATACTGTAGTGGATAGAAACTATGATAATTTAGATACTGTCCCGTCCATGTTGACTTTCTGTAGACAGATCGTTTTACTGACCCATCTTCTCGGCGGGTTATGAGTACACCTAAAAATGGCAGACAACCATTATTCTCATTAACATAGTTTGTTAGCGATATCTGTCTGTCTGTCTGTTTTCGACATACTGTCTTGTCCTCTGTTGATCTGGTCCAGGATTTCTATGGCTTCAGTCGGTTTATCACAAATGACTATTTTGTCATCTACATATCTTTTATAAAAATAAACTTTTCCAATTTCTTTCTCCACTAGATTTTCGACATGCGACATATATGTATCAGCTAACAATGGACCTACGGGGCTTCCCATGATAACCCCATCGATCTGGCGATAATGCTCGCCCTCAAATGTAAACTTAACATTGTTAGTACAAAGAAGTAGTAACTCTTTTAAGTAAGGTGTTGATACTGGTAAAAAGGAATTCGTTGTCAGAGATGTAATCACATAAAATGTCAACCGTCTGTAAAAGAGGCACGTTTGTAAATAAAGATTCAACATCTAGGGAAAACACGCCTTTGTCCTTTATATCAACGTTATCAAGTAACATTGGCAACAGCCCCATGCGAAATATGAGCTGCGGATCAACATACAAAACATACACAGATACCTCTATATACCTATATACATACATACTATGTAAGCACATCGTTTTAACTTGACATAATACTACAGAGACACCAATTGCAAATTAAAAACGTACTAAGATAAACGAAAGAGGAGACAAACAAACAGACAAAGAGAGCAGTGAATCATTCAAAGATTCTATGCTGAAGTGAATTCATTCACATCACATTAGTAGATTCTGAACAGTGTCAGAAAGTGAAATCATCACTGGAAACCAAGGGAGTACTGCACAGCTGTTTTGTCCTAGTTTGCGACTCATCACGGTACGCATCCACCCCACGAAGTTTGAATCACGAGACAAGCCCGTAGATCAATTTTAGCCACACACACACACACACACGCACACACACAACATGAATTCGAACTTCATACTGGGATTACACTTTATAAATTTGAGCTGAGAAAGAACAAACACTGGCGGAGAATAACATGGCTTCATTTTATCCCGTCGGTTCCCATCCATCAACTGAGTACAACTAATAATCTTTAATAAAATAAATAAGTCAGTGTACAATTTCAACATGTCTATCAATAGGCATATTGTAAGAGCAACATAGTGAAATAAAACACCAAGACGATAGATTATTATTATTATTATATACTTTAGTTCCTAGAGGAACATAGGGCTTCAGCTGCGCACCTCCATTGCCTTCGGTTTTCTGACAATTTTTTCACCCTGCTCCAGGTCTGTCCACATGCTTTCATCTCCTCCTCGCATGACCTCCTCCAAGTCACCCTTGGACGACCAACTCGCCGCCTCCCTTTCGGGTTCCATTCGAGGGCTTGTCTAGTGATGTCACTTGATGGTTTCATCAGCGCATGGCCAATCCATCTCCATTTCTTCCTGCCTATTTGTTTCACAATCGGTTCCTGGTTGGCTCGCTCCCAGAGATCCCTGTTGGTGATCTTTTCTGGCCATCTGATCTTGAGTATTGAGCGGAGACAGCTGTTAATGAAGGTTTGGAGTTTGTTTGAGGTGCTCTTTATGACTCGCCAAGTCTCTGATCCGTATAGTAGCACTGACTTCACATTAGAGTTGAAAATCCGGATCTTATTTTTGATGCTGAGTGCTGTTGACCTCCACACAGATTTGAGAGTAATGAAAGCTTGTCTCGCTTTTCCGATTCTGGCTTTGATATCTTCATCAGTTCCGCCTGTAGTTGAGACGATGCTTCCCAGGTAGGTGAAGGAGGTTGTTTCTTTCAGGTTCTTCCCACTTATTCTGATTGTTGTCCTGTTGTTGTTGTTGGTGTTGATGTTGGCTAGGAATCTTCATCATCTCTGTTTTTTCTATGTTCACGTGAAGTCCTAACTTTGATGCTTCTTCTGCCAACTTGTTACTTTTCACTTGCATATCTTCCAGTTTATGGGAAATCAGACATATATCATCGGCGAAATCCAGATCCTCCAAGTCTTTTGTGTCAGTCCATTTTATGCCTGTTCCCTCGTTGGTTGCCGTTGTCTGTCGCATTATCCAATCAATTGCAATCAGGAAGATCATTGGTGATAGTAGACAGCCTTGCCTCACTCCCGTCCTCACTTCGAAGGCTTCCGTAAGTTTCCCGTTGTGGATTACTTGGCATGCAGCATTGTCGTATAACTGTTGGATGAGATGTATAATTGTCAATGGGACCCCGTAATAGCGAAGTAGTTTCCAAATGACCTCTCGATCGACTCTGTTGAGGGCCTTTTCAAAGTCGATGAAGTTGAGATAGAGAGGTGACTGCCATTCCAAGCTTTGTTCAATGATGATCCGTAGAGTGGCGATTTGATCAATACATGATTTGTTTCTCCTGAATCCAGCCTGTTCCGGACGAAGTTTTTCATCTAGGGCTTGTTTGATTCTCTCCAGGATGATGCGACTTAGTATCTTGCTTGGAATGGACAGAAGCATAAATCCACGCCAGTTTTTACATTGACTTAAGTCTCCTTTCTTTGGAAGTTTGAATAAGTATCCGTTCTTCCAATCTTCGGGTACTTTGCCCTCTTTCCACACCTTCTCCAGCAGTGGTGTCATCAAGTCCGCTGTTGTCTCTGGGTCTATTTTCAAAGCCTCTGCTGGGATTCCATCTGGTCCCGGTGTTTTCCCAGCTTTAAGCATCTTGATTGCATTCAGGACTTCTGATTTCGTCGGGGGGTCAGTGTTCACTGGTAGTTCTGCTTCCGTTGTTGGTATTGCTGGACGTGTTGTAGGTGGCGGACGATTTAGAAGTCTTTTGAAGTGTTCAACCCAGTGCTTTCTCTGTTCCACCTCTTTGGTGATTGACTTTCCATTGTCGTCCTTCACTGGCCCAATCTGTGTCGAACGTTTGCCCGAAAGGTTCCTAGTTGTTTGGTAGAGTGTGGCGAGGTCTCCTTTGTTTGCAGCTTGTTCTGCTTCGTTTGCCATGGTTTCATAATATTTTTTTTTGTCTTCCCTGGCACTCCTCTTCACTCTTTTGTTCAGTGTATTGTAGCTTGCATTCAGCTCCTGTTTTTGTTGCTCGTCAGTGCACTGGATAATCTTTTGTTTCACTATCCTTCTCTCTTCTATTAGTTTCCAAGTGTCCGTAGTGAGCCACTGTTTGTCCTGTCTCTTTTTTCTGCCTAGAATTTCTATGCAGGTTTGGC